CAGTTAAAATTATCTCATAAAGTAGTCTTATTATTTGTCATTTTTAAGCAAAAAAAAAAAAACGAAACCTATTTTTTATTATTACATCATGCTTTTAGCTTTGTGACAATTTTTCAACATGGAAATTTATTTTGATCTTTTTTTTCTACAATATTTTAAATTAAGCAAAGCATAATTTTCAAATCTTTTGAAATAAAATTATAATTAGTTCATCAACAAATGATGAAACAATATTTCTGCAGTAGATTAAAATAGGAAATTATTTTAAAAAAAAAAAAAAAACAAAATAAAATTGCAACATACAACTAGCAAGATCAATGAGACATGTTTGTCGATCTAGCGGATAGTACTCCAATGACATCGGACATGACAACACTAATGAAAGTCTGCAACAATATTATCAAATGAAAATTGAAAAAATTATTTCAAATTCTAGAATAAGAAAAAAATGATATAAATTTTAAAAAAGTTTAATAATAAGTAGCTATTTTTAAGTTTTCAAATCAACTATGTAACTTCAAGATGATTCCACAAACTTCAATACTGTTTTGCTATGGTGATAAAAAATTTATAAAACTGAATTTTTTAGCTGATAACACAAAAAAAATTGACAATTACCTAACGCTGTATAATATTTGTCCATCTGGATGTATTCTAATAAGCACGTTAGGCTTGTCAATAAGATGTCGCCTTGCTTCTCTGCAATAATTATTAACATCATTATTTTCATATTATAGTAACAAAATAGCAAAAATCATTGATATTACAAATTATTAGAATCATCGTTGTAATTTCCACTATCATTATCATCGTTTTAAAATCATAATTGTGATTTTTTGTCAGCATTGTTATCGTTTATTATAATAAACAATGACAGTCTAATTCATTGTTTCATTCATCTAATTGCAAAATTACAATTTCAAACGTAAGAAAAACTTCTGCCCCTACAGATTGATACCTCAGCGCCAAATATTTTGAATTAATTTTAAATCAGTAATAAAATACTAAAAGAGAATAATGGTATGGATAAGAAACATATAGAAATAATTTTAAGCATGAAATTGCTAATAATAACTTATACCGCTGTCAAACAAAGGAAAAAAAGCTATTCTTTTTTAATTAGTGAAATGATAGTTCAGAAGGAAATGTTGTTATCACCGGATCACGGAATCAGTGATAGCATGTTTTGTTACAAATTTGAAAAATATCACAAAGCTTGTAATGACCCGAAGTAAAACAAGTAAATATGATCATTTTGGATCTTTTCTTTTCAGCTAATTAATCAAAAATTAACTTTTCATTTTGAAAGAAAGTATCTGGCATCCAAATTTGCCGTGTTAAATCAGCCTGTTCACTGGCTGCAAGTACCAAAAATGGTGGTACTTGCGTATTCTCGTCTGCCAAACGTCCGTACGCCAGTCGTCCATCATGCCATTCTTCTCGAAAGGTGAATTGTGCGCTGTATTCCATGTTGACATCATCAATTTTTGAAATTGACCGTAAATAGATGTTTACAGAGACGAGTACTGGACCACCCGTATCTGAAAAATGAAATCTTCTCGGATAAAATTTAAAGAAAATTCAATTCAATTCAATTTATCAAATGATATCATTTTAATGTTTGCTAATTCATGCTCTTTCAAAGAATTTATTAAAATTTTGCAATTTCCAAGAATTAAAATTTTGCAATTTTCAAGAAAAATTATATTGTAGTACAGTTAGAAATCTGTTTTTTTTTCTTGCATATCTCCAACTGATTTAAATATTTCATGTAAAATTTACATTTTATAACTTAGCCAAATTCTTGCGGCAAATTGTTTTAAAGAAATTTACTGCAAAAATTTGACAACAAAAATAGCAGTTTTAGTTATTTATTAATGTTTTTTAATATTTTTATTTTTTTTTGTTTTTTAATACAATTTTTTGCTATTTTTAATTTTTTTTTGTTTATTTTCAGGTTGAAAATATTTCCAAGAGTGTTGATATTCAATCTATATCACTTAACTTAGTTTATTCTTTAAAACACATTAATGTTGTCCGATTTCAATATACATGCATACGTATGTATATATGTGCATGTGAATCATTGAAGGGTTAATTCTCGAATAAACAAAGCACTTTGAAAGAAGGATTTTCAGGATTAACTTGCCATAAGTATAGAGAAAAGCTTGAAATGATAAAAAAAAAAACAAAAATACAAATGTCTACTTCTTTTTACTGTTAAAGTTGGAATTTTTAAGTTAATTCAAATGCATGAAAATTCCTAGTTTTTCCAAATATTAATTGGATAAATAATATGATGCCTTAATAGGTTATGCAAAATAATGATGTAGAGATAATTGAGAGAGAAAAAGCCGAGTCTCAAATATAAAACTCAACAGCAGATTATACTCAAAGATGACATCATCGACGAGCTATAAAGTACCACTCAAAGGTAAAATCAAAAATTTTTTTTGCCGCTCTAACTCACTTATTTCACAAATTTCGTACTAATAATATTTTATCCCATAATTTACAAATATTATTAATTCCTACTGCACAGTTATTAAGTTCAAGTATGTCATACTATAAACACATTCACATCACTCAGATACTTTATTAATTTATAATTAGTTTGAATTAATAGCACGACATTTTACTCCTTGAATTTTTGAAAAATTGAAAATATTTTTATCAAAAATAATATCGCTGCTTTTTTTTGCTCCAAGATTACACATTGACAATTCTTTTATCACCGAGGCTCATTATCAGTGTTGATTTTTGATATCTTTTATCTATCACATATAATTGAAGCATAAGCTCCTTTTTTTTGTTTATTTTAATATATCATCAGTATGTCGTAATTTTTATATTTTTCCATAAAATTGTTTTGTTGACACTTTCTTTTCATTGATTTCTTGTGTCTTTATCGGGATATCTGAGAGCTTTTAATGACCTCTAAGAGAATAATTCATTAAACTCGTCGACGAATATGAGATGTTGGAAAATGAATGGATAATTAATTATTTAAAAAAATTTTCAAAAATTCTAAATATCATGGTTATTACATCGTTAAAGATGCTTTATGCAATTTCAACTCGAAAGTATAATGCAAAGTAATGAATAACCACTTGTTTCCAAATCAGTTTGCTTTCAAAATTTTCTTGCAAAAAATTTTTCTAAAAAATTCGCGAAATGCTTATTTTGAGGGAAGAAGAGAACAAAAAGAGGGAAAAAAGGAAATGATGGAAAAGCTTTTAGGAAAGGAAAGTTTGAGGCACTGAATGGTACAAATAATAAAAAAATGATATAAAAAGCTTTTTTGCACAAATAAGCATAAGTTTAGAATAAGTGTTCACGTATGTTAAAAAAAATTATTATTAATTGCATGAAAGTTGCAAATTAATTTTAAAGATAAAAGACTAATCAAAATATAACAAATCATGTATTTAAAAAAACATGTATTATATTTTTCAAAAATGGTAAATCTAACAAGAAATATTAAAAATTTCGAAAATATTAAATTTTTTTGAAGAAAAAATATTTCAAAAATATGAAATCACTTCTAGGAAGAAGATTTAAATAGGTTTTTTATAGCCTTTACTAAAATGAAAAAACAAAATAGTCATTTGAAAAAAAAAAATAATAATGGAGCCCTATTTGAATTTTACGATAATTGAACACCATGAATATTATTATTTTAAAAAAAAGAAAAAATATTAAAATCCATCATTGGAACAAATTTAGCTCCCAAAAAAGCTTGTAATTGTTGGAAACCCGAAACTAAAATTAAATTATTTATATTTTAG